GACCAGAACTAATTAATAGTTCAAGAGAAAAATAATTAAATTAGAGAAAATGGCGAATCTGCAATTTGAAGGGCACTGAGGTCCCGAGATGGAATAAAATGTCTTGTGAGGGGCAAATGAGATTAGTTTTAGAGTCTAATTAAACCACACACAAAACTTTAAGGTTGTACCTTGAGTCCAATTATCCAAAGGTGGAGAGTATGGCAGCGGCGTCGTCTATGGTGGAGCGATGGCGGATGGCGGAGTCCTTAGACCGAGTGCTTCTGTTTTGTAGAATTTTGGAGAACGCAACGCACCCAAGTTCATAATCACAAAGAGCTCACTAATACGCGGAAGTCGCGGTGAAAACGTACGGAAAGTCTAGAAGTAATACACGGACGCGCACACACTGTCTTGAGGTTTGAAGAGTCTGAAAGCACTAGATCACAATTTAAGTAATTTAATCACAAACAAAAGGGGGAAATTAAAATGTATATATAGTTAAATGTACTATAGAGGAGAGGGAGGCCAGATATAATTAATCTATAGCCTAAAAATACGTTTAAGAGAGGTAAAATGGGCAATTAATGTCCCGAGATACGAGAAACGGAATACACCGTGAGTTATGGACGCCGACCGTGGACAGACAGACGCCGATCGCCGGCTTCACACTTTGAAAAATGCAATTGCGGTTTAGAGGGGTCTAGGAATTCGATGGCCAATAGGAAATGCGATTGAAGCAAACACGGCGTCAGGTGATTCATGGGTATGTAGTACAGGAAAATAGGCCTTACTGTGGCGGGAAATTCGAGCAGGCTTAGCAATCTCATTTGAATATTGAAAGCGGGAGTCTATTTACAATAAATTGTTACTGAGACTAAATAATATTACAATAAATGTGGTGATTTATATACACATTAGCATGATTAATTAACCAGTGACTTAATTAACATAATGATTAATTTCTAAATACTCTAAAAATATGAATACCGAACAAACAGTTTTTATTACCATACAACCTACACTAGGCCTAGTACTTGAATTGCATGTCTCCTTGCCACTTAGAATTGGCACTCACGTAAATCACTAGATCAGTCACAGTAGTTGTGATCAGACATCTTGATGTAGGCTGTATAATAAAATATTATGCAAAAAATAGTAAATAGTGTTCCAGCCTGAGCTATTAAATATATAATAATAATAATATCTAATATTATATAGATATACAGTAGAACATCGATAATCCGGATTAATTGGGACCGGACCCCATCCAGATTATCAAAAAATCCGGATTTTCAAACATACGCTATTTTTATGCCTTAAAACTATAAAAACGTTAACAAAACCCTGAGAATGTACTTATATAAACAATAGCAGTAGGCAAATACAAGAAAAAACTGTAATTAGTTCAGTACTGCACTTTATTTAAACTGTAACAAAAATAATAAACAAAGAAAACAAGACAGTTCATGTACAGTAAACACAGGCACGCAATAAATGATCGACAATACAGTACTAATACAGTACAGTCAAACAATAACTTCTATAAGCCACAAAATGAGCACAAACAGTTAACACGGACGCACAACTTAATGATCCACCAACGATACTGATGTACACTTTTAACTGCAAAAACAATAACCAAACGCAGACGACACAGTGTTTACAATATTCAGTTGCGAGAGCGAGAGGAACTACAACTACAGTAGACGACATAAAATGGCCGCCCGATAGATAGTGATTGTTGCTGTGACCTTCAGACACCCCTCCCCTCCCGCTCCTGCACACTACACTCCCTCGTTCCACTCTCCCGTCCCCAGCGCTCCTGCGCAAGTGCAATAACGAGCCACGCACGCAACGCATCAGTCCATTGTTACTGTGTATTTTAATTGTCAAGGTAGCAAATCCGGATTTTTGACGTCCGGATTATTGACGTTCTACTGTATATGAATTTCAACTAAAATTTCAATAAAAATCCAACTTATAACGACAAAACACCGAAACTAACCAAACAAAATGCAAAATAAACAACAACAAACGCTGGTAGTGGTAATAAGCGATTGCGCCATCATGGCAATGTCGTCAGCTGATGCTTTATTTTCATAGAGGTTTAAAATTTCCCAAAGGCGTCCAAATAGTTTAAATGCACATCTATCGACAGATTATTCATTTCTGAACCGAAATAAATACTATACCAAATGAAATTTGTTTCATTTTTGTGCAAAAATCTGCGATTTCCATTACCGGCATGCCAGCTCGAGGGTTAAATTTTGTTAAAAGCTTGAGTACAATTTTTTGTGCGGAGTATTTTTTATCCACTTGCTAATTTTTGTTCAAAAGTAAATCCTAACATTATTTGCTTCTAAATCTAAGTATTGATAACCCTTACAGACCTAGAAACTTTAACAATGCAATGTCTGATCAATGTAAAAACCAGGATCTATATAAGATTTAAAAGTAAAATTTATGTAGGGGTGGATTATACATTATGTATCTTTATACAGATTTATTCAAAAATCATGTATAATCATTTTTTATGTTTTGTAAGTGATATTGACTATTGAGGTTGATCTGTTTTCACTCTGCAAGAGTTGCAATTAAATAACCTTTACTGTGTATATAAGTCATTGACGTTACTGAAATGACCATAAATTACAAACCTGAAATTTTCAATGTATCCACCTATAATTGTTTCTTAGAAAGAATGAAAAATTAAGGGCAGAAGGTAAAAAAAAACTTCATACGCTATGATTGGCCAGTGTCGTAACACTTCGTCCCAAGTAACACTTCGGCCCAGTAACATTTTTGCCCAAAATCCTCAAATGAGGCCTGCGGTCCAACTCTATACCTGCTCACTTTGTCCCTAAATATATTTGGCAGGAACTATTTAGGAGGATAGTACGTAACTAACAAAACTTAAAAAACTAACAAAAGATTCAAAATTGACTCGCTACAAACTGTGTTCTGCAAGGCTTCGACGAAGATAATTTTCAACTAAACTTTAACCAGTTAATTTCCACATAAGGTTAGGTTAGGTTAGGTGTGAGTTGGACCTCACTCTCATGAATAACATTAAAATTCGTATGTCTTCCCTCGTAAACAAAGGGGTTGGTGGGGTGAGATTCTACCAATTCTGTAAGTGTACTGGTTGGGTGACATTTCACCTCAGGGTCATGGGCTTCTTACTACTGAACTGCATTCCTCAACCCTGGTCAATTTTTCTTCGGGTATCCTGCTGTTTCAGCGCGTGCTCGTACAGCGCAGTGCATACAGCGCAGCTCTCTTGGGGTCTCTATTTCCAGGAAGGACCTATCACACACCTGGCTAATTGCCAGGAAGAACCTAGCACCATAGATATATAATAACAACACCCGTCCAAGTGCAATCCCTAGATTAACCTGCAGTAATTTGGAATTGCTGACAATACAGTACATATTTTGAAGTCTGAATATCCCAACCCTAAATACCTGCAGGAGGGTGGCAAAGGGGTAGGTGCACCTACAGTCATTTGGAATTACCAGCTTCTTTACAAGGTTCAAAGTCCAAGTTAGGGATTACCAAATTTACAGAAATATGGGTCGAAAATGCTTGATTTTTCTTCAGTCAGTCTGTATGTATTATTTACAAAAACTCATAGCTCTTAAAACTGCTCAAGGTACAGCGTTGAGACATGCATTAATGATTATGTTAATAGGGCTTATTCTTTGCATAATATTATAACAGGCAATTGTCTGTGATATTATACAGCGTTAAAAAATAATCAAACATATTAAGTGGTCACCATCTTAAAATGATTAAGGATCATTTTTATAATTTTACACACTTGTTTATGACTGCCGGTGTTGTTGGTTTGTATAGGCCTACAGCTCAATGTATTTTTACTAGGCCCTAATCTGTATTTTACTATTTTATATTGTCTACTCCTATTGTATTGTACGTTATTTATAAATGCAAGTTTGTTTATAGCTCGATGTTTTTGTATGGTTTCCACTTTTGTAGTTATTTTGTTGTAGCCTATAGTATGTATGTTAAAATTGGAAAAAATAAATACATATGTAAATAAAAAAGGCCACTTTGATTATCAGTAGAACTGGTTTGTGAATGAAGGTGAATCACTTCACTTAAATAATATTCAAGCGGTCTCCACAACTCCAGCATACTAGGCAAATTTGATATCAAGATCCCATAAAAGGCTGTTTAACAGCTCTTAAGCTAAAAATTCAGAAGAACGTTGAATAACGTGACAAGTAGCCTATTATTGACTCTCACAAGCAGCATAGAAAATCAAGCGTACAACAGGATCCTCAAACTAGGATTTTGGTGCTGGGGTAATCACAGGATTCAAAAGGTCACTCATAAATTACGAGAAAGCCCGTACTGCTAGTTTATTGAAGTACAGAACAGGTAGACATACAGACAGACAGACAGACGGGCGTTCCAAGTAGACTGCACTGTACGAGCATGATATTCCACCATTTTCTGTTGCGGTTTACGAGCACACGCTGTACGAGCACGTAATCTTTTGTCAGGCCAAAATGTTACACGTTACATAAGCTAATGTTACTCCATTAGCTTATTTAATCAACTGTAAAAGCGAGTGGGAAGAAGTGTTACTGGTTTTCTAAGAAATTTGAGTTTGCCGGAAACGTTACTGGGCCGAAGTTTTACTACGCCTGATTGGCCATGGGAACAATGACAATCAAATAACCTTCTTAATCTTACTCAACTTGATCCAACTTGCATAAGTTTATTCCTGCTAAAGTGTGTAGTTATTCTGTTAATTTTAATAAATTGTATTGAATCTAAAGAAGACTGAACGGCAACTAATTCCGCAAAAAATATTTATAAAGCGATAAAATATCATCAAAGAGATAAACTAGAAAATAAAGGATGAATTAGGTAAAATCCCTAAACGTGTGTATATATGTATATATATATAGGTAGTAATCCAACATATGTGGCAGTATTATTTATGTATATAAGATATGTGCATGTAAAGGTTTTGGTTATATTATGTACAGGGAAGAGCTTCCTCACGTTCTACAGGTCTAGATACAACTTTGCTGGTGGTTGGCTCTCTCTTTTGGTAAGTGCTGCTAACTATCTTTCAATAGATCACTAAAATAATCTTTTAAAACTAATTTTGATTTTAATAATAGAAGTAACTGTATACAACTTAAAAGCCCAGCTTTATAATTGTATTAGCTGTAGTTTAGTAATGAAATGAGCTGTGAAGGAGTGGTGAGTAGTATCATTGATTTTGGATTCTGTAGATTTTAAAATGTTGTTGTTATGCCCAGTTAGGTTTGAGTACTCGGATTGAAATTTAACGTTATTCTCTAATTATTATTTAATTATAACACTAGTGATCATAGTGTGACACTGTTTCCTTTTCTTTTTTACACCTTCCTCACTTACAAGCTGAAACCCCACCCCCCTCAAACGCGTAACTTTCCCCAAAAACATAATAAATTGTTTGTCTTTATAACTAAGCTTTAATGTCAATACATGATTGTTTTGTGCATTAAGTTAGTTTATTATGACGTATAATCATATAAGTTTTGTTACATAGAGGTAAAATTTGCTATACAGGATGTCCCATAAGTAAACAGCAAAACTCCGGGAAATGGCTCTATGAGCAAAATAAAGAGAAAATCAAGAATAACATTTTTTCCAAAATCGCTTTGTTAACCGGATATCCGCAAATTGGTATTTTCCACATACCGGTAAACTTTTGTATCTTCTGATTGTTCCAACCAATCTTTATGAAACTAGGTATGTTTTTTTAAGGTAGAAGAGACCCATGTTAAATAAAGTTACCTTGATCCGATTCATTATTTTAAAATGGCTGCCATTTCAATTTTGAAATTTTCATTACTAAAAAAGTTGCTGAGTATATGAACAAATTTAAGGTCACTTTCATTTAGCGTTTAAAGTTTCCTATAAAACAAAATCAAGTTAAAAAACAAATAAAAAATAACTTAAATATCACAATTTTTGGTTGTAAAATGAGGTAGAATAAGGCTTTAGGTTTGCCTCTTAGTAAAAAGGTTGCCTTTCATGGTAAATACCCTATACAAATAACATTAAGTGATGATTATTTTTCATGACAATATTATTATAGCTTTGAACAATTAACACATCATTTATATAAATAAAAGCTACAGATATTATATAATACTAGCTGGCCCGACAGACGTCGTCCTGTCCTAATGTGGTTTTATGTCAAATGCTCGTTCATTTTCAAGATGAGCTCGTTCACATGGCTCAATCACGTCCTGGTTGAAGTTCGTTCACTACGCTCACTCACCTTTAGGTTAGAGCTCGTTCGCTGCGCTCACTTGCCTTCAGGTTAGCTCGTTCGCTACGCTAACTCACCTCCAGGTTGAAGGTCGTTCGCTACGCTCACTCACCTTTCGGTTGAAAATTAGCTGTTGTCATAGATTAAAAAAATAATAATAGTGCTGCACCCTATTAGTAAACCTATTAACTTTTTAATATTATTGAACATCACAGAATCAAATTGTTTAGTTGAACCAGCTGTTAAGATTCTTTAATTCCATTTAAATATGAGTACTCATGAGGTTAACATGGGAAACCCCAGAGCCACTGGGGCGGAGCCCTTTTGACGGATTTGCACCAAACTTCACACAAACCATCCTTGAGTTATGCTTAATTATGCCTGAAAGTTTCATTACAATCTGTCAAGCGGTTTTGGAGTCCATAAAGGACAAACAAACAAACATACATTGGATTTTATATATAGATAAACACGCTTGGCTACAATTGTTTTGTAAGGCCGAATCGCTCTTGTTGACTCAACCAAAATAATCATGTCTTTAAAAAATCGTGTATGTTGATTTTCTTGTCATTTGAATTAACATTAATAACTCAAAAACAAAAGAAATTAATTTTAAACTTAAAATAAATTCTACTGACAATAAATCGGTAAATTTCTAGGAATCCATATTGATCAGAATCTGAATTGGAATGAGCACAGACACTTTTTATGTAGTAAACTGGCTAGAACTATATTTTTGTTTAAAAAATTCAAGGAACCTAAGTGAACAAACTATTTTAAATAGGTAGCTATTATGAATTTTTCCATTCTCACCTACAATATGGTGTTCTTTTATGGGGTAACTCTGCAGGAGCCAAAACCGTTTTTAAATTTTAAAGGAAAGCAGTTAGGTGCATTAGAGGAGCAAAGCCCAGGGACGATTGCAGAGCAGATTTTAAGGCCTAAAATGTCCTAACCCTTCCATCTTTATACATTTTAAACTGCTTTTTATTTATATTTAAAAGAGAATATAGGAGTGAAAATTTAAAAACGTACGTTTTCATGTCCCTGGCCTTTTACTTCGTAGATACTGGATTTGTAGTTTATTATTATGTGTTTTAATATTTTTTATTTTTTGGGACGGGGGCAACATGTTACACACATTTATTTGGTTTTAAATAGGTTCTAGGTATTTTTTTCGTATTTTTAAAGTCTCGAAATTCACGACCATGACGTGTCCCTAGGGTACATTTTCCAACTTTCACGCTGTTTTTAGACTTCATTATTCATGCCGAAATATATAAAGCCATATTTTTATGTCATCAATAGTTATTAAACTTACAAAAAAGGAGCATATTATAATTTTATTGTCATTGCAAACTGACTACCATGACAAAATAAGTCTGTCCCTCGATTTGGCGTCACGACCATTTGGGAAAAATTTTCAACTTTGGAGCACGACAGTGGCAAGCCTGGCGTCGATGGAGTCAGTTGGTTTTAGAGACTAGTTCAGGGTGTACGTCAGGATTGTAGTGCCGGTCGTTTCGAGTTGAAAGGAGGAATTACAAGATTAATAAAGGAAAGATTGTCTTTTTTGTAATTTTGGTGTGTCCATGACTGTACGTAGTCATTCGATGAAGTAGACATGGTGTTAATTTTTGTTTATAAGATATTTCAATTGCTAGATTAACCTAGAAGTTCACTTTGTATCCTCGAACATGAGGTGCAGGGCTACCGCCAGAACAGAGCCAAATAACACGTAATTTCACGACCAAAGTTTCACAACCATCGCGGGTTTTTTCATGACCAATCCAGCCTTATGGATTATAGTGTGTTTGGTCGTGACAATAACTTTAATATAATTGTAATTTGAACAGTTTAGTTCAATTGAAAGACTTATTTTTATTATAACTAACAGTATAATTGAAGGATTGTTTAGAAAGATTTAGATTATTTCAGAAAATTCACGACCGTACTGCTTGTCCCTGACCATCACGTTTATGATTTCTATCATAAAAATTTCAATGTTTTATACACAAAAGAAGCACACCTCTATACAAACATAACGATTTTTCGGGTCTCAGGTAAGTTTTTTCGGAGTTATACAAACTTAAAAAGATTTTATTGCCTTTTTTTCAATTTTTTGAGTTTTTTCTAGAAAGACCAAATATACTAAAAGCTCAGTGACCTTTTTATTGTGTAATGGTCATAAAAGTAAATCAGTTTATAGCAAAACATAGTTATAAAAATAATATTAACTATTTTTAATATTCATTTAAACGTCTGTTATGGTCGTGACAGGATTTTGTGTTTTTCCACTAAAGATGCTCTTTTTTTTTAAAAAAATACCAAAGATATTGCGTTACCATCGACATTTTATGAAACTTCAAATGGTAATGAAATAAAAATAATAATAAAAGTTTTGAAAAAAGGGCAAGAAAATTTGCAAAGTGCTTTTCCTGAAAACGTATGTTTTTAAATTTTCACTCATAGACCAGTATAGTATCTGATCTGACATACATTCACATTACACAAGAAATAGCCATCATCTCAACTTACCACTTACAAGACATACACACAATTGCTACAAATATCTTAAAAAACAATTTTTTTATAAATTACCTTCTTCTGCCAGGGCCGATTTACCGAATAGGTACGGTAGGCACGTGCCTTGGGCGCAAAGCAATTGGCTTTTTTTGTGGGGGGCGCCAAAAAATTAAAAAATAAAAAGATTTTGTTGGTTGTAAATTGCATGTAGATGTAATCATGATAAACTTCTAAATACCCCTTGCGGCCATGTAGACATAATTCCCAATAGTCTCTTTCACCCGAGTAGATATCGTAATCCTCTCCCGCGATTGTGGCAAAATGTTAATTACTTCCCGCAGTCGTTTTGACATCGTTATCATCTGCTGCTATCGCGGACAAACTCTGCCTATTTCTTGTGTAAATGTCTTTAATTCCATTTAAATATGAGTACTCATGAGGTTAACATGGGAAACCCCAGAGCCACTGGGGCGGAGCCCTTTTGACGGATTTGCACCAAACTTCACACAAACCATCCTTGAGTTATGCTTAATTATGCCTGAAAGTTTCATTACAATCTGTCAAGCGGTTTTGGAGTCCATAAAGGACAAACAAACAAACATACATTGGATTTTATATATAGATAAACACGCTTGGCTACAATTGTTTTGTAAGGCCGAATCGCTCTTGTTGACTCAACCAAAATAATCATGTCTTTAAAAAATCGTGTATGTTGATTTTCTTGTCATTTGAATTAACATTAATAACTCAAAAACAAAAGAAATTAATTTTAAACTTAAAATAAATTCTACTGACAATAAATCGGTAAATTTCTAGGAATCCATATTGATCAGAATCTGAATTGGAATGAGCACAGACACTTTTTATGTAGTAAACTGGCTAGAACTATATTTTTGTTTAAAAAATTCAAGGAACCTAAGTGAACAAACTATTTTAAATAGGTAGCTATTATGAATTTTTCCATTCTCACCTACAATATGGTGTTCTTTTATGGGGTAACTCTGCAGGAGCCAAAACCGTTTTTAAATTTTAAAGGAAAGCAGTTAGGTGCATTAGAGGAGCAAAGCCCAGGGACGATTGCAGAGCAGATTTTAAGGCCTAAAATGTCCTAACCCTTCCATCTTTATACATTTTAAACTGCTTTTTATTTATATTTAAAAGAGAATATAGGAGTGAAAATTTAAAAACGTACGTTTTCATGTCCCTGGCCTTTTACTTCGTAGATACTGGATTTGTAGTTTATTATTATGTGTTTTAATATTTTTTATTTTTTGGGACGGGGGCAACATGTTACACACATTTATTTGGTTTTAAATAGGTTCTAGGTATTTTTTTCGTATTTTTAAAGTCTCGAAATTCACGACCATGACGTGTCCCTAGGGTACATTTTCCAACTTTCACGCTGTTTTTAGACTTCATTATTCATGCCGAAATATATAAAGCCATATTTTTATGTCATCAATAGTTATTAAACTTACAAAAAAGGAGCATATTATAATTTTATTGTCATTGCAAACTGACTACCATGACAAAATAAGTCTGTCCCTCGATTTGGCGTCACGACCATTTGGGAAAAATTTTCAACTTTGGAGCACGACAGTGGCAAGCCTGGCGTCGATGGAGTCAGTTGGTTTTAGAGACTAGTTCAGGGTGTACGTCAGGATTGTAGTGCCGGTCGTTTCGAGTTGAAAGGAGGAATTACAAGATTAATAAAGGAAAGATTGTCTTTTTTGTAATTTTGGTGTGTCCATGACTGTACGTAGTCATTCGATGAAGTAGACATGGTGTTAATTTTTGTTTATAAGATATTTCAATTGCTAGATTAACCTAGAAGTTCACTTTGTATCCTCGAACATGAGGTGCAGGGCTACCGCCAGAACAGAGCCAAATAACACGTAATTTCACGACCAAAGTTTCACAACCATCGCGGGTTTTTTCATGACCAATCCAGCCTTATGGATTATAGTGTGTTTGGTCGTGACAATAACTTTAATATAATTGTAATTTGAACAGTTTAGTTCAATTGAAAGACTTATTTTTATTATAACTAACAGTATAATTGAAGGATTGTTTAGAAAGATTTAGATTATTTCAGAAAATTCACGACCGTACTGCTTGTCCCTGACCATCACGTTTATGATTTCTATCATAAAAATTTCAATGTTTTATACACAAAAGAAGCACACCTCTATACAAACATGTAGACATAATTCCCAATAGTCTCTTTCACCCGAGTAGATATCGTAATCCTCTCCCGCGATTGTGGCAAAATGTTAATTACTTCCCGCAGTCGTTTTGACATCGTTATCATCTGCTGCTATCGCGGACAAACTCTGCCTATTTCTTGTGTAAATGTCTTTCACAACATCTTACTTAGACAGGAGTAAAACTATTTTACCTACGACCGTTTTTTAAAGTAGCCGTTTCAGTTCAGTTCTTAGAATTGAAAAGTTTCCCATAACAGCATTGTTTACTTTCTTAACAGCATAGTTTTACATATAACAACTAGGGTAACGGACCAATGAGGTTCAAGGATTGAGAGAGAAGAAATAAAATTGTAATGATTCAAACGTCAACTAATCAGCTATTCAGGCTAATTTAATTGTTCGAGTGGTGCAATTCGTGTTTGGTACAATGTTTCGTTGCATCACTGTCAGTGGCAATGAGAGTTTATAAACGAAAACATAACCTTTCCTAGAAGTTTTGAGTACCTAGTGAGTTTTAGTAATTAAAATACTGTCGTAGGTAAAGTAGTGTACGCAACTCGCGTGAATAGTGTTAACGACGCTCGTAAAAGTTCGTAAGCCACTCGCCAGGGCTCGTACCTTAAGTATTCTACTCGTTTGGTTAACACAATCTTTACGCAATCGTTGTGTAAACCACTATTTCATTTGATAACTAACTCAAATAAAATAATATGGGTAGTTTTACAAAATGCTTAAACTTGCAATGTTTCTAGGATGTCCATGATCATGGCGATACCAGCTTTCACCTACCAAATCCCAAAATTTGTCATGGGTTTTGGGTAATGCACCGAAGTTTTACCACCAACGGACTGTGATGATTTCTCAACCCAACCAACTCTACAAACTTGGACACCAATAATTTTACTGTTGGAAGCCTTATAAATCGTGTATGGCTTTCACAAAATGTTAACGTTTTTATATCTGTAAGATACAATTTTTGTGTTTTGTGAAAATTGTGAATGATCAGCGTAATCTCTCAGTTAACTTATTTAATGTTGTTAGATCATTGTAAATCTGACCAAAAATGTCAACGTGGATTGTTTACAATTTTGACATTGACAGAGAGGGACGATTCTTTTAGTTGTTGAGGATATGTGGACAAGACTGGACACACAATGATAACATTTTAATCTGCTGATGATATATATATTCCCTATAAAATTTAATTTGTGCTGGAAAACTGTTCTAACGTTAATTTAAGACTTACCTAAATTAAGATACAGTACAACTGTTTTTTTAGTCAAGGCATAGGACTGTTGTCCTGAAGACCTGGCTCGGATTCCATTCATTCACAAATGACTTCCAGTTATGTGATAATTGCTGTGAATGTTTAGGGCTTTTAGTAATGAAATACCTATTTGTGTATGAAGAGCGCAAAGTATCATTGAACTGTAGCGCTCAAGAACTGTAGATGGCGGTATGAACGCCAACAGTGAAATCAGCTGATTTAGTGATTTTCTGATTTAGCAATCAGGAATGTTCATCTATTTTGTGTACTGTATTTAGGTGTGGCAATGTGATTATATCCATGCAGTGGTAGGAAATAGTTATTTGTGCAACTAGTGAGCAAAGGGAGCAATTGACTCACTCGAGAGAAATGCTTACTCACGAGCCATAGGCGAGTGAGAAATGTTTCTCGAGTGAGGCAATTGCACTTTGCACTCGAGTTGCACATTATATTTTTCCTACAGTTACCATAAAACAAATAAATTGGTAAAGAAACGTGACATATTTTTATACAGAAGTGAACTTTTAATATTACATTAATGATACAACAGTACAACAGCTGACCAGCTGATTTACAGCCAGTGCTGCCAACGTATTTCGGGCGCACTGCATGTTACGCGCTCACTATTTCGTGCCTTCACGTTGCAAATCTGGAGTGAGTGCGACAATGTTAACATTGTCTCACTGATGAGCAAATTGGCCACTTTGCTTTCTCAAATCAGTGAGAGAACATGTACATTGTTTGTTAGGTAACTGTAGGAAAAAGTTATTATTTTACAAAAACCGATCTGTTTGGAGTATTTTATTACCACCATTGCAGATTGCTTAGTTACAGAAGTTGGTAGCTAAGAATGCTTACACCGCAATTCATTATGTGTCCATTCCCCACCTGTATATTCTCAATTTTTGTATATCTTAACTTATCTGGAAATAGTGGAAATTGTGTTATATTGAGCATTTTAAACCCCCAATAGAGTTTCTTAACGTTGGCCATTATTTAATTTTACGAAAAGATTATTTCTACTGCATTTTTAACTTTGTTTGATGGAACAGTGTTTTATCATTTTAAAGTGGTATGAGGTTTCCAGATCCCAGAAACTAGAATACTGAAATACTTAGCTTTAGCGCTTTAGATAGGGTATCCAATGTTTTTTTTTGTTTTTTTGTATGCTGTTTATTTATTGCTCACTTACAATACATTATTTGCTGTCAAAGCAATTTATGTGTGAAATTATTTAGTCTATATTTACCATTGTGATATACCAGCCATTTTGTGTAAAATCACTTTTACAAGTTTTTTTTATTTGATTGTTTAATATTGTTCTCTTATATTTATTTAGTATCTCAGATACTGCTTTACTTTACATACTGTTTTGGGGTATTATTTAAATATCTTTATTATGTTAAAGGGGAACTACACAAAATGTGAACCCTTTTTTAATAGGCCTTACTGTTATTTTTATATTTTGCAGCTTTCATTGTTTAACCTGTTATTATTGTTTTTAAAACAAACATGCATTTTCATTCCACCGGTGTAAACATTAATTTTTTATTGTGTCCATATATGTAATCCACTACATTGGGTTTTATTTCAAAAACTAAATTTAAAAACATGTATAATGTTGATCAAGAAGTTATTTTTTTTTCAAAGTAAAGATTATGTACCTATTAGAAAGCTTTTTCTGGCATGTTCTGCAATAATCAAGTTTAGTAAATTGCCTACTCGTTTAAAGGTTAGTATAATTACACTTAGGCTAATATAGTTTTAAACTGATTTGTTTATCAAATTTATTTATTGTGGACCAAAGATTTTAACACAACAACTTTCCTAGCCTTTGAAATTTAAATCTTGTTATCAAATGATAAAGTTAACGGAAAGAGGAAGTTTATTGTTATGTTATCAAAGGAGATTTAGACTTGCTTGTTATTGTTAATGACCTCTAGACAGTTGATGTTATCATTTTAGGGTAAAAAATTCTAAAATTAATTGACTTCATGACAAGGCTTAGCATTTCTTTTGTGTATAAAAATAATTTAACTATATTTAATTAGTATTGCTGATAGACTTAACTCTGTTGTTTATTTGGATTAAAATCTGAAACCTGTATAAATTTGTATAAATGTAGTTATATTTTTAATAAATATTTATTTATTTATTCAATATCTTTGTTATTTTCATTCATGTTATAAATTAATACCCAAATTACACTTCTGGTCATTAGTAATTTTAATTTTCTTGTTATGTACTCCATTAGTATTGTTTACATTTTTTATATGTACAAACCCTGATTTTGTTATACTACCTAATGCTTCTTGTGTTGGATAGCGTGATTAATTGATAGCCCAATGGCAAACTGCATCAAGTTCCAGAATCTATCTCGCTTTTGTATTTCAACCAGGCATTGTGATTATTAGAGTATTTTATTATTTCGTTGGTTTATTGCCAAAGGTCCATTGTTAAGTTCTTGGAAGGGACTAAAATAAAAGTCTAAATCAAAGATTTATTTCAATTTAACCCATTGGTGCCGACTTACGAGCGTTACTCGTCTGGCCGCCGGAGGCCCAAAATCCGACTTACAAGCCCAGGTTGGTTTATTTTTTAAATTATTGTTTAAATTGTTTACTTTTATAATGTTTATAAATATCTTGTTTCTTGTTTTGTGTATTTTTAATAATTTATTTTTGGGAATAACAAAGGTTGTGTTTCCATGGAAACCAGATATCACCCAAAATCAGCTGTGGTAAGTTAAAACAAACATATTTTTTCTATGATATTGCCACCAATGCTAGAAAAATGCTGGTATGGATCATAAACATAAACAAATTACGTTGTTGGCCCGAATCCTATACTAATACCATTACATATGTTTTGGCAGTTCCATTTAAGCAATGTTAAATAATGTTTATTTTCAGGCCAAAAACATCATTTGTTTATGTTTATGATCCATACTGGGTCTTTTCTAGTATTCGTGGTTATTATATAAAAGTAAACAACTGTTGATTTTCCTACGTAGGGAATCAATTTAACTTTATGATAAAAGTGTCATTTGGTGTCTGGATTAATCTTGAAATTTGTAAATTAAGTTTTTTTTTTAATTTTTTTTGTTTTTAGCGAATTTCAGTATAGGGAAGTAGCTATTACCATAGGTGGCATGGTAAGACCTAGGCCCGGGACCAATTTACTTTTTCATTTTGATGTCCCCAGAGGCCAAAAACACCATTTGTTCAAATTTGTATATATATATATATATATATACTTCCGTGAACGTGATAACTTGAGTAATTATTGTCTGATTTCGATGAAATTTGGTTGAAGGGTGTAAAGCAGGATAAACTTGGATGAGTTCGCGAACCAGCATTGAAGGAACGATGGGAACGGGGTTTTATGGGATAAAAAATGGTTTTTCAAATTTTTGACCCTCAAAACATAATTTTTCCCAATTTTTTTCTAGACCTTTTTAAAGAGCTTAAAAATGTTATTCTTATGGAGAATATTGTAAAATGTAGTTTGCTCGTTTGTGGATATATTTTGATAAAACTTGGCTAGTTTATTTATTTTATTCTAAGTTATTAATACTTTACTAAAAGACACACTGTATTAGTTTCCTTGTAGGAGCAAACCTAGGTACTCGTTAAACCTAATGATATTTAAATAGGTACATTAGATTGAAAATCAATTCAGACAATTTGAAATTCGCTTAGTTGGCAGGTTTGCTGCGGCGGAGGTATTATTTTTTTTAATTTTACACTTTCATTATCTAATTACATTTTTTGTAGACAATTTTATTCTGAACAAAATTACAAAAGAATTATTTAATTAATACCAAACTTTTTCTTTCTATAACAATTAGAGTGAAAGTCTACAAATTTGGTAAAATTAATTGCTGACCGAGGGCACTGAAGGTAGCACATTAATTCCTTCCCCAATGGGTTAGTGATTCAATGTGTTGTCAAAAAGTATCAACTTATTCCCAAATAACAATAGCAACCGAAAATCTATTTTTCCCAGAATCAGACTGTTAGAGAGGTTAGCACTGCAGCTACTTTGCTTCACTGTCAGTTTAACTTTATTAGACCTACATCCTACATGTAAACTCGTCTGTTTTAACTTTCTCTCCCCTCCCTGTACATAGTTATATGGATAATGTATTGTTCGTAATAATGTTTGAGTTTTGGGTAAAAATCCGTTTCGGGTTACCCTGAAACCAAAAAGAGGTTTTTGAAGTGATCTCTGAGTGTGAATGTGTGCAGAGTTACAGGGCCCGATGTTTACAAAACTTGTTAACATTTTGTATATGTACCAACAACTAATCTCTAGTATCTCCAGGTGTTCTTTTAAATCTTTTTGAAATTTTTAACACGTTCGCTACTGCAATAGTACGAAATTTTTCATTCACATGGACCAGCGACGCACATATGCGACGGCCGGTTTCTACTCATAGACTGCCGTCGCATATATGCGACGGTTAGTCACATTAAAATAGACTGCCGACGCATATTTGCGTCGGGGTTCTAATGTTATTAAAATTATTATATCTTTGTAACGGTCTATTTGAAGGCACTGAATTCCCTGTAGTGGTCTACAGAGATGTCTGACGCACAACTGCGTCGCTTGGTCTGTGGATATGATGATTGGTGACGTGATAATGAAAGTTGGAAAAACTGGTCTTTACTTTTCTGCTGCACTATATGTATGTATGCAGTATATATGCAGCATTATCCTATGTAGCTTTTATATTTGTTCAGTTATAAACTGTTCTTGAATAATCGGTTTTTTTTACTTACTTTCATCTCAAAACACAAACAAAAATGAACTGTCGCATATATGTGACGTTTGGTCTATTTCGAGAAAACTATGATAATTTTCACTATTGTCTTCGCTGTAGACCGGGCGTCGCAAATATGCGAAGCATTACTAAAGGTTATAAAAAATACAAAAAAACAAGAATGAATTATTTACAAACACGATCGTAGCGTATTACAATATAATTGATCACTGTTTTACAGGTTTTCGCCCGTGGTCTGTGTGTACTATTAACCAAGTGACAGCCGGTCTATGCCTAAGATTCAAATGTATACCTCGGTCTGTCATAATGACTGCCGCGTCGCATATATGCGACGCTCAGTAGCGAACGTGTTAATCATTTTTTTCCTATAAAATAACAGAAAAATTGTTTTTTTACACAGACCGCTTGACCAACTTTAAAATATGATTTTTTATTCCTTTGAACAAAATGGTACCATCCCCAAAGCTTTAAAAATTACTGTTCTAAAGTTATTCAAATTTTTGTGATTTAACCCCTGATATGTCATAGTTACCCTCACTGCTTACCAATTATATAAGGGTTTTTTTGTCTTCATATCCGCCTGTAAATTTTGTGTTTGTTTTCCACTGAAGATCAACTATATATAGATATAGCCACAGAAAAAGGTCTATTGACTGGCTAACAAACTTACGATCTATTACGAAAGATCGATTTACTACGATCTCGATTTATCAGATTTGTGTACTTAGCATAGAGCTAATCTCACACATTGTTTAATGTACCATAGAAGTAAATACGTAAACAATATACATTTTTTCAAAAACAATAAAAATAAACACTAATTTAATATTTATAACAAAACATAGGATCGTAAGGTTATTAATCCTAATAGTTGCTTCAGATTCTTCTAAAGAATTACACAATTCTAAAAATACAATAAAACCTATTCAAAAATAATTTTGAATGCAGTTATTACCATATTATTTAAGAAAATACATGTTATTTTAAAGGAAATGCAAACGTTAGCTGTTCCATGTTTTCAAGAGAAACTCTTAGATTTAAGAACGAAAATTCAAAGAATTACTGTAGTAGGTTTTTATATGTTATTTTAAAGATTATTAACTGAGGATTTGTTGTTGTAATATTTGACACTCTCTAGAGTCCAGAGTATCATAGTAAAACATGCATTAAAGTTAATGTTTATTTTTTCTCTAAGAAATCACAAATTCAAATTTTCATTGCAGAATAAGGGATCATACAGATCTTTAATATCGGTGACAATGGAAAACTAATGAGGATTCTGAAAATGACAATAAATGTGAAATGAAAACAACTTTTAGTTCACTTATGGCCATTTTATCTAAGTAAATACAAATATTTTGGAAAATCTTATTTTTTTATTATTACCTTCTTGTGAGGGCATGGAAACCTAAATTGGTGCCATTTTGTCGTCAATACTTAGTAGTTTAACACATTAAATTTTTGAACACTAACCTCGTTCCACCCTGTATAGTTATTATCAAAAATTGAAATTGGTTTTGTCTAAACCTTCAAAACATCAGAACAACCTTGGTAAGTTTGGCTAAAATATGTTCAGCCGTTTTCGAGTTAATGACTGTGTTAGAAAGTTTGCATTGATGTCGATCACAAAGAGCTTCGCTACATAAAGGTTTTAAAAATTGATAGCTTGTTTTATGGGGTAAAAAATAGTTTTTCTCACTTGTGACCCTCAAAAAAAATTTCCCAATTTCTCCCTAGAGCTTTATAAAGAGATTAAAAAAACAAGTACATCAAAATGTTTTTGTACGGTTATTGGTAAGGGAGAAAATTCAAAAAATTGTATATTTAAAATTCCCATGTCACTAAGTTCTTATGGAGTATATTCATATTGTAAAATGTAGTTTGCTTGTTTATGGATATTATATTTTCATCAAACTTGGCAAATTTATTTATTTTATACTAAGCTTTTAATATTTTACAAAAAAATATACTTTATTAGTTTCCTTGTAGCAGCAAACCTAGGTACTTGTTAAGCCTAATGTTATTTAAATAGAACAATTTGAATTAATTGAAAATTAATTCAGACAAATGGAAATTCGCTTAGTTGGCAGGTTTGCTGCGGCGGGGGTATTTTCAATTAAATTTATCTTTCCAGAACGAAACGCCAAATTTGGTGCTGGAAAATCAAGAACATAAATATCAAAATTATTATCTGATTAAAAGATAGGGCATTTTCCAGGAATTATTAAGGAAGTTGCCACTGGAGAAAATCATGATAAAATGATTTACTCCAGTGGTCAGTGACCACGAAAATATTTACTTTTGTGTTGTTATTATGTGTCTCTATGGATTTATTTAAAGGTAAGCCCGCTTCCTGTCAATTTCCTAAATATCA